TCTCATAATTTTTGCAAAAGGCTGTATATCTTCAATTATTAGATATAGATAAACACCTGTTTTCAACCATGACGGACATTTGGCAAACTCCCGATATTGGTCTCCTTGAAGTCTATCTAGGAGCTCAGCCCACCTCAGGACACTCCCGGATATAATTAGTTTGCAAATATGTTCTATTTGAACGATCTCACTCGACGGCAGTACTCTTTTCCACAGGTTAATGTCCGATATCTGACCAACATAATATTCGGGTATTTTAATCCGAAAACTTTTTTTTAAGGACACGTGACTTTTCTTCATGTTCACTCTTGCGTGTTGAGTTCCGTCTAGGTATAGTGCAGTATGGCCCTCGGAACTGTTCCATGTAACGCAGATGTGGTGCCAATTATTGAGATTGATAGAAACTCCTGTATCCCTAAGTCATAAGGAGATAAAACGATAAACTGATAAACAATTGCGGGCTAATTTATATATAATGTATACTGTCAGAAGTACATAACCAGAAGTGTCAATCTCGTTAGTAATCTAGTCACCATCAGGTGTCCCGATAATCTATTTTTAGACTACCAATCACAACGCTAGCACATATTACGCGGCACCTGATTGGTCCTTGTTGATCTACTTCAAAAGCGAACAAGAAAGGAAAATGTAGTCGATGGAGGCGAAAGAAGTGATAATTTTGCACCTTTAGCTGAACAACCATTTCTTAATTGATAGAAAACATACTTTACTATAAGAGCAATGTAGCGAAAAGTATTTCAAGAGCAATATGGTCTGCGAAAACAGGGGAAAAGTTGAGACAAAGATGAAGAAAGATACAGCATATTGCTCTTAAAATACTTTCGCTACATTGCTCACATATGCAAGCCCAACTTCTTTCGCCTCCATCGACTACATTTTCCTTTTTCTTGTCTGCTCTTGAAGTAAATCAAGGACCAACCAGGTGCCGCCGTGTAATATGTACGACCGTTGTGATTGGTTGTTTAAAAATAGATTCGACATCTGATGGTGTCGATATTACTAGCGATAAAATAACATTACTAACACTTCTGGTTATGCAATTCTGGTACAGTAGATTTGAATCTATGAGTTATGTGTTTAAATATTTTGTTTTATGTCTACTCGGAGAGCAAACAGTCCTTATCGTCCTTAATCCGCGTCCTTAATCGTCCGCGTATATATAAGAGCACCCATTTTGGAGGTTCAGGCCTATTTGGTTCTTATATAAAGTGTTCTAATCTGCAAAATGAGCCTATAAGTGTTCTTAATTGTTCTTTTAAAATTAGGAACATACAAGGCTGCCAAGAGATAAAATCACTATATATTATGCACACAGTTTTAATACAATGATGTAACTATTTTAATCAAAAAGAAAAAAAAAGGATAAATCTAGGCATTTGTTACGGTTCCTAACAAGGAGCCCAAAATAATTGCGACTGATCGAAAAAGACAACAATAAGTTTCACTGGAATTATTATTATTAACTGAATAGGTACTTTTGACAACTACTACCTATCTAATTAAGCGACTATGATCATTTTAACGATTCACATATACAATAGCGTTATATCATTTGCTTATAACATTACGTAATGGGCGATGTCATTCCTTTGTAAAGTAATCCCTAATCGTCACAGCAATTCTGTACCGTATTGATGCAATTGTATATTAATAAATAATAACAATATGTGGTCTTATATAGCGCATTATCACACTGTTTCAATGCGCTGTCACAACGAAGTAATGGTCGGACCGCTATTTAAGGCGCTCAGCAGCCACGCGGCTTACAATGATGAGTGTGAGCTAGTTCAAGTAAGTAAGTCACTGAGAGTGGTCACTGCCAGAGATTTGTTTACGTCCTCAGTGGTTCTTTTACGTCCACCTTATAACAGGGTTAGAGTGAAAGCAGACGGGATCTCCGGCTTTACGTCCTTATCCGAGAAGACGAGGCAGTGAAAGAGTAAAGTATCTTGCCCAAGGACACAAAGTGATCGCCCGGTCTGGGAATCGAACCCGGGCCTTTCAGACCTGAGCCCGGTCCCCTAACCAATAGACCATCACGCCTCTATATTGTGGAGTACAGAACACACTAAAACCAACACAAAACCATACAAATTAAAAATGAAACTTTTGACTGGCCCCCTACCCTCAGTAACTAAGAGAGCAAAATGTCTGCAGCAAACATCCTTGTTGATCTTTCAAATTTTTCATATAATGTTATTTTGGGCTTCCTTTGTAGGCCAGGTCACCCAGAAATGACGGGACGTATCTAAAACGTGTTGTAAAACTAGGCTCTTTGCTTATTGTCATTTCAAGAGTAAATAAAGCACCTAATATAAATACACAGAAAACCTTCGTAAGTACTCCTTCGCAATTTTTTTCCTCTACGAAAAACGATATTGAAACCAAAAGACGACAACCTCCGAATTCAACATGGCCGCTAGCCGAACCATTGGATCAGTGCTTCCCTTTGACGAGTCAACCTTAACGTTTACATGTTACGTCGAGAAATAAGAGCTTTATCGCCAGCAACGTCAAAGATGAAAAGAAAAAGGCATCTTTATTGATCTTAATTGGCCAAAGGACCTACACACTTTCGTAGCTTAACATCTCCACAAAAACCGAAAGACAAGACTTACAACGAAATAATCAAACTCATCGAAAACCAATTATCCCAAGTACCACTGGAAATCCCCGAACGCTTCAAGTTTCACCAGCGTTGCCAAGGACCCAACGAAAACATCAACACTTTCATAGCTGAATTAAGGAAATTGACTGAGCATTGTAAATTTGGTGCTTCCTTGACCCAGGCCCTCCGAGCAATAATAACCGCACTCGCCAAGGAAAAAGGCTACCAAAGATGCAAATTCTTTCCATGATCACACTGTGGAGATTCGCGACACGAACACGACAAGTCACGTCAAACCCAATTTTTTAAGCTGGAGAAATCCAATGAAATGTATGACCTGCGGCAAGTCAGGACACGCCCGCAAGGACTGCCGTTTTTACAACGCCATATCGCCATAATTGCAAAAAAACGTGGACACATATCAACCGTTAGCATGTCCAAACAATCACCACCTAACGTCACTCACTCCCTGGACGAGGAGCTGGTAGAAGAAGGAGAAGAGAATGAAATCCCGTGCATGCAAATATACAAATACAGAAACAACAATCCTCCAATAACAATTTACGTTGAAACTGAAGGGTCACCAGTCACCATGAAACTTGATACTGTATCATTGACGCGATCGTTAGTGTGATGAAAGACTACGTGCCTCTACCAGATAGTGCTTGCATCCATAGACACGATGATCAACCAATATCCGTTGACGAGCCTTCTGTTGCTACAAAATTTCGAGCCGTGAGTAATGCCAGAGCAGGTGGCCCTGACAATATTCCCAATTGGGTCCTCTAAAAATTTGCTGACATTTTGGCTAACCCAGTTGCTGACATCCTCTTAACACTTCTTTTGCCGAATGTAAAGTCCCCCGAGTCTGGAAGGCTTCTACTTTATGTGACTTTACTAAAGACATTAGACCTATCTCGCTCACATCCACGTTATCCAAGATTGCTGAATCGTTTCTCATTGAAAAGTCTCTATTATACGAACCTTGTTATCATCCATTGATCCTATGTGGGGGGTAATGGAGTCAAGACGTGTCTTGTGTTCGCTCCGTGATTTCTATGTTTAAAACCTCGATTTGTCCCCATTTCAGAGTGTATTGATACATATGTTATTCGTTTAAATCAATATGTTTTGTTTGTAATATGTTGGGATAGCAAAATGGATGCTGAATCAGAAAATTTGAGTATCCTTCCTGAAGCACCGCCACGTGGCTCTGAAAGTAAAGGTAATCAAAATTCTAAAGTATCATTTCAACAACCAGATAGATCGCTTCAGCGATACGTATATGATGAACTAAAGACAAAATCAATCTATGCTAAAGCAGTTCCTTTTGAGGAAGTTGATGTCAATTCATACAAACCGAAGACAAAGTTAATAGCTTTCAGTACGACAGAAACACGTCTACCATTATGGATCAAAGCAATTACAACACGATATCTAGATATTCTTAACAACACCGATTCGTTCTCAGCAACTTGGGAAGAATATGAAAACTTACAGATGAATGGAAAATCAGATAAAGTTGTCCTTACTATTAGAGAACGAGATGATAAACTTTTCGTGATATCAGTGTTTGTATCTACGGGAAGATTACAAGTCTAGGAGCGTATGCACTAAAACATGGAACGACCTACAACCACCTACAACCACCTAAAACAACCTAAAACAACCTACAACCACCTACAACCACCTACAACCACCTACAACCACCTACAAAAACCTCAAAAAAAATCTAAAACCACCTAAAACAAGTCACATATGTCTAAAATAAGTCACGTACTGTATGAAATACGAGAAACGAACAAAACCCGTCACCTCCCCCATAAACTCTTACTCAGCATAAAAAAGCCCCGGCTGTCAACGAACAGTTCACGGGCATCCTCAAAGAGGTGATGAGAGTAAAGCTGGACGATGACGTCCTGCTTGACACAAAAAAACCGATACACAAGGCCTGACAACTGCCATGCTAACGAGTAATGAGTGTCGTGTCTATTCGTTATTGAGGCAGGGTCATTGGGGAAATTGATAGTCTTGAAAACAGGGCCACCTACACAGGTTAATCATCTTATATGGGACAAGTTAAAACAYGAAACAAGATCAGGCGACTTGAAATTACAGCGCATTCAGGCCAACTTACTAAAGGGAATAATTCCCATTATCTCAATAGTTGAGAAACTGGTCGTTGAGGTATTAGATGTTGAAGCTCTCCTGAAAACCGCTACTGACTCAGTAGCCATGCTTGGGGCTGCAAATTTTGGACTCAACATGCAACGGAGAGACAACATAAAACCAGAGCTCAATGCTGACTACAAGCACTTATGCCCTCCCACTGTACCGTTTACTGAATTCCTTTTTGGGGATGATCCTGACCTATCGAAACAGCTAAAGGATCTGGCAGAGGCGACTAAAGTCAGCAAGAAGATAAGTAAGAATCATGAACCGAAGCAGGACTTACCTGTAAGTTGAAGTTTGATTGGGATTCTGCCGAGTCATCAGTAGCACAAGAAGTCACGTGAGAAAGCACTAGCCGCCCGAGAGATCAGTCTTAAAAGCCTTCAGTGTGCTATCAGGACTGTAGCACAAGAGTCAAGGGTTGGATAACCTTCTGGGTCTGGGCGTGGGTCTGGGCTGATGATTTGGTTTTGCTTTCTCACTCACGTCAAGGCTTACAAAACAGTTTAAATACATTATCACGATTTTGTAGTACACCTTTTGCTGTTCATTAACCGCGAAGGAACTTTCAATCAAGCGAAACTGCATTGTCTTTAGCGCGAACGAACGTTCAT